CCTTTTTTGAGATATAGACAAAAGGAGAATTGTTTAGAAGAATTAAATTTGTCCGATAATTTACTGTTCGATATCAAAGATAGCTATGTACTTGCAATTTGTGCGTTAAAGCATTTAAAAATAATCAGAATTCCACATGAGGTTGTTAAAGACAACAGAATAAAACGATCCACCAAAAATAACGTATCTTACTCGTTTTACCTTCCAAAAATATTAGAACAATTTGACCTCCATTCGCACGTTAAATCATAGAATAGGAGGAGCATTTCAAATATAACTATTATCAACGGTTCAAATTTAAAAGTTTTGAATATGGCTAATGTTACATTCCGGGATTGGAATGGTACGATTAATGGGATTGAAAATTTGGAGTATTTTGATATGTCAGGATTCAACTGCAAAGTTTTGGGTGTTAATCTTTTTTCAAATTTTCCTAAACTGACCACTCTCATTGCACAAGATGCCAATCTGGGAATCGGGTTGAATACCCTTCACAATGCCTCAGAATTTCTAAAGATGAATTGAGATCTTCAACACCTTGACCTGATGAAAAATAACTTAACATCTCTACCAGATGGCCTTTTTTGTCATCCTTTCAGACATAAGCTTTCTATCATATTGGACAGAATCAACTTACAATCCCTTCCGAACTTTCCGTCAAAACAAAATAAGATTAAACTTATCAGTCTGAAGTACCATAGATTTTCGTGTCTAAGCGAAGACGATATGGCTAAACTTAACATTATTAAACCTTCCAGTGTATTTCTTTGTGGAAATCCGATTGAATGCTCTTGTAATACACTACGTTTTCTTAAATGGGTGCACAATTCAGGTCTTATAAGTGATGTTGATGAAATAGAATGCGTCATGCAAACTGGGACTCTCACAATTTTGTCTCAATTCTTTCGAAATCTAAACAAATTTGAAATCAGTTGCAAAACGAAATTATTGGTAACACTGGCAAGTTGCATTACTTCTGTCACCATTTTAGCTTTAATCTTTGGAAAAAAATACTATCGCTACCGATTTGCATTATAGTATATTTTTCTTAGAATTAAAATGAAACTTAGACATTACCAGCCTCTTTCTGATGATTTCAATTATGATGCTTTTATTGCATACAGTCATAAAGACATATCATGGGTTAAAACTCTTTACGACAACTTGCAGTCAAATGGCTTCAGCCTCTGTTTGTATCACAAGGATTTCAAAGAAGAAATGTCTATTGCCGAGTGCATCGTGAAAGCCATCAATTCAAGCAGAAAGGTCGTATTTGTTATAACTGAGGATTTCCTGAAGAGTAGCTGGGAACTTATGAAATAGAAATGACAAGAATGCATGCCTTCAGAGAGGGTCGTGAATCAATGGCTTGATGTTGAAGCCTTGAAAGACATTTGGCGTAAAGTCGTCTGTATTGTGTGTCCATCTGATCCCGAAGCTCCGTACGACTCTGAGGAAAAGTTCTACGAAAAACTATGTATAACATTTTCAGACGGTCGTAACCGTATAAATGATGATAATACTTCCAATGAAATAGTTTAATACCAAACTAGTGCAAAATTCAAATGAATGAGATAATACAGTAAAATCAGTATACATACATTGTAGACGTTTTATAATATCGTGGTAAAACATGTGATCATTTAATGTTCTAACTATGATTTATCTTTAGACCATTCAGCTTTTTTTTCGGGGTCAAAATAAATTATTTGATTAGGAAAGGGATTTGCATACTGATATAGAGGGTTACCAAGGTAACATTTAGAAATTTAAAATCTGCAAGTGGAACAGGACTGACCACATAATGGCAAAAAAGCAAAGGGAACGAAAAGATGATCTATTTCACAAAACAATTCATCAAACAAATTGAGGACCATATAACAAGTAGATATAGAATAAATGCATATTTCCTAAAACTTATTTTGCAATGCATAGAAACGGGTAGAAAACAATGCTTTGACGATGGTTCTATCCGACTTGTCTTGATATTGTGGCCAAATGAACTTTTTTAGTAAAACCAAAAGTCGACTTTTTTGCAGCCAGCCACGTCAACATTCAGCTACTATTAATCACATGCTATAAGTATGAACTCGTGTGTATACCTTAAATGCTTTTGACTGTGTATTTAACGCAGTTATAAAATATCATTTGTGAACGATGTGACTCTTCTAGAAGGGTTTATTGTTTCAAATTGCCATGTTGACATTCTATTTTAGTAACTGAATATGCTAAGCACATACGTAGTTCATCTTCAACTTGGAGTAATGTTTAAGGTAACATGCATACGGATTCAAATGAGATTGAATGATTGACTTGCAAGCCATTAACATATCAGCGATGTTTTCAAGCTTATTTGGATAAAATTGAGCCAAACTGAAAGCTAGAAACGAAAAATTATTTCATAAATCCGTTTTAAAAACACTTTGAAAAGAAAGGCAAATATAGTTTATTATAAGTCTTAATTGGAGCTACAATGTGTTGCCTCTTTAATAGGAAAAGGTAAATATGAAAAATGAGTTTAATATCATTGAGATGTCAGAGACAACTTTTCATAAAACTTGGCATATCAGACTCTACAGTATTTAAAGCTTACTGACATTATTGTTTGGAGAAACTGTAAACTTTAAGTTACATGTACTTGACAACGTTTTTACGCGTCGGGTCGTTAATTAGCCCAGCAGTTTTTCCCAAACCAACCATTAACAAGATCAAAATGATACGCAGAGAAAAGATCTTTGAGTATTCGTATTTACTAGTATCACATATAGATCCTGTTATTGATTATGAAAAGAAAACGATGAAGTACTAACGATATGAACACCATATTAAGGGGATAACTTCCTGATTCGTAATTTCACTGAAGGTAACATACAAGTAATTATTGTGTACAGTTGTATACTGCTCTGTACAAAGCTTTAAATGTCTTAACACACTTAAGCCCTACTTAATATAGAATTACTTCCCAAGTGGTAATTGTACATTTAATTATGGTTACAGATCATTACCGTAAATGAAGAGCGAACATGAAAAGTCCAATATATAAAGAATTAAAGTTTAAACATATCATATCTACAATGTAATTCTTCTGCAATTATCAATCTTCCGATTCTTCTGCAATTATCAATCTTCCGATTCTTCCGATGAAATCCAAAATTATCGGTTTTCCAAATGTTGTCAATGTAAGTTTTTTTCTTGATTCACCTGTATTTTTTTATTGTGTCAATGATTCAATATAAGTTACATGTATGCCACTATACCTTTTTCAACTAACTACCGCGTACGTTCAGCTCTTGTATGCAATTCAGTACAGGTGACATATAATACATGTATGTCATTTTTTAAACTGTTGTAAGTCTGTCTTTTACCGACAAATATGTATTATGATAAAAATTACATTTGTTTTTGTAATCAGTAAGTAAGACAGCATCTGTGTACATAAGGAACATCAAGAAGTTGTTGGCTAGTGGTTTTCTGTGATATTATTTACAAATATATGGGTGTTTTTCTTTATATTATGCATTTTCGCTATTACATGTATATTATGCGTTTTTTTTTATTATGGAATATACGTACTTCATTTCAGAGTTTAGTTACTTTGTTATAGAGCATTTGCATTATTTACGAATCTGGATACGTACACGGATCGATGTATACGTATCGGACAGATATGTATAAAATAATATTTTAGCCCCGACCTCAATTCAACTAAATTAAAATTAAATGAATTACAAAATATCTTCATCGGGACCAACTATAATTAATTTGTCCTTTTCTCATATACGTGTTATACGCTACGTCGTTATGGATACGCCCACAAATATGTGAATAATGCAAATGCTCCATTGGTATGTAGTTGCTATACTATTTTTTGTAGTTAGTTTGTAACATTGTGTGGATCATTTCTATGTAAAAAAGTATAACAAACATACCGAACTCCACGGCAAATTAAAAAAATTGAAGTCATTAACAAGTCAAAAAATCAAAACTCAATGAAATAAAGTTTTTAGTGTATCATAAATATGATATGAATAACTTCAATATAATCTGATCAGTCCAATGGAACCATAATCCTTTAGTCATGTTGAACCAACTGGAACAGAGAAGAAATTTGTTGGGGTCTCTTGTCCTTCGGTCATATTATTTCATATGTGTTCTTGATTGCGTTAGTTAATATTGTGTATTTTGAAGCATCGTCTTGTAGTTTTCCTCCTAAAAAGAAAGTGTGTAAGTGCTATCGTTTGTCAGTGGAGCTCGAAGAAACAATAATTCATATGAAGTACGAAGAGCACTGCCAACAAACCATTGCGAAACGTTTTGCCAAAAAACTGTAAATCTAATCCATTGATCATGTATGAAAGGTTCCTCCATAAAAAAGGACTTAAATGCAATACTTTACCATTCAAATAAAGAGACAAGTTCTTAACTAGTTGTTCACGCCACTTTCAGCACATTTGAATATTTCAGCTTTAACATGTTTTAGACGCCACTTATTTGTGGCATTGACAACACCTGTTATTGAATGTAAGCTTTGCATCATAGATAAATACGGTTTGTTTCCTCAGACAAAACTTACCAATACTGAAAGGTTGTAGAAACAGAACATTCGACATCCTAGCGTTTTTTCGCATGTAAAGTCAAGTCAAGAATATTTTAAAACAACAAAATGTCTTTTAAATTTTTATGAGTCGGTATTCGAAACCAGAGTCAAAAATATACTTTTAATAACCTCCGCTTAGATATGTAACATTAATACTGGTTCTCTGTAACTATTTAAACTTATATATAGGGAGTGTGGCACACATGGTCATGGATTTTCTTCAAACTTCACACACTTACAAGTCTTGATAAAACAAAACGAAATGTCAAAATTTTGGTTGCTATGTTTATCGGTTGCCATAGCAACCGATGACCAGTTTTACCTCTTCTGGAAATCTATGATTTTAAGCTGAAAAAGGCTATTTTCAACATAATTTTTCATATTAAATAAATAAGAGAAAGAATAATTATTTATGATTTTATCAAATATATGTATTTTATTAATGTTATTTAATAACTGATATTTTCATATCAATTTTCAATCATAATCACATATACCCCCTTTTTAGGTGATTTGCATTAAGAAAAAAATACCCTTTCAAGGTCATTTTTGAATGCTCACCATAATTTTTGGCGGACACCTGAGTAAAAGTCAACCATGAATTCATAAATACCAGCGTCTTATCTTATCAATGACGCGAAAAAGTATTGGGGAATTATGTCTCATTTTTTTGTTACCATGGATACAAAATTCTTAGTTTTCATTTTTTTCAGAAAAAAAAATTTGAAAATTTTTGAAAAAAAAATGTTTTAAAATCTAATTTTGCAGTCAGAAAAAAATAAATAAATATACAAAATGTAGAAATTATTGTAATCATCAAAATTTTACACATATTCATATATAACGGTATTATAGTTTAAACTGTGTTGCTATGGAAACAATTTTATGATGATACACAAGGTTCAAGCAATTTTGAAAAAAGTTTCAGTTAGTTTCTTAAATGTGCACAAAAGTAGGAAAACTAAAACACTTATTATGTTTCACTGTATACACACATGTGTATATATGAATAATTTTCCTAGTATATAGTATATCGATAATGGTGTTACCACTTGAAGGAAACAAACACAATTTCTCTAATCTGGATAAAAGTGCTGAGTATGAAGAAATTTTAGTCTGTTTTCATGATCATGAAAAATATACAAGAAAAACAATTACTCAATCTAGAAAAAACAAATAAAATCATTAAAAAAAATATATATATTCAATTGTGCAATATTTGCCATTGAATGTGTTGCCATGGAAACAAGCAGTTCATTTGAAAAATTACTGATAAGCGCTGATTTTTACAAATTCGTTTTAATGAACTTCGATACATATAGCAATGAATGTATACAATTTTGCTGACATTATGCAGGTTTTTTTTTGTATTTGAGAAATTTTAATGATATTCCAGGCATTATTAGTGATAGTGTTGCCATAGAAACAACAAATTATATGCTATATGCATAAACTTGGAAAACGCTTAGAAATAGACTAAATCTCTCATACAAAAACTCTCTTCTGTAAGTTTTCAATTTAATGCAGTGTCAAAGAACGATGGTTTTTACAAGTCAGTCCATCGACTATAATTATTCAAATGCTGAAGTGAAGATTTAAGATCAAAGTGCCACTTGGTGTTGACAGTTTGAAATTATAGCTATTAGCTCCTAACCATTTATACATAATATTAAGAAGATACAATCAGAAAATTGACAGTTGAAGAAAGGACAAGCTTAAATTGTTTGTGTGAGGCCCTAAGGGCCCTCTGGATCCGACTATGGTAGCACTATCTTAACATTAGTTATAGGCATTGGATTATTGAAATTTGATAAAATAACAATTATCGCTATGGATTTTTAGCAGCAAATTAAAAAATATTGCCAATATGATAACTTTACACAGGGTAACGTTAAAAGAATTATATACATGTACATATAATTTGATTTTCACTGAAAGGCCATTACAGAAAGATGTTTCTCAAAATTATTATATTGTCGTTCTTTTAACCAAAAAAAATTAGTTTTTACTATGAACAGGACTCAATGTTTATAACATAATATACATGCGACTTTTTTTCCGTGACTTTTTGTCTGTGACTTTTTATCTGTGACTTTCTGTCCTACATTCTGACCGTTATCATGACCAGGAAAAATGAATTTATACATTTTTATATGTAATAGGCTTTGCATCATATTTATAGAAACACTTAGATTGAACCATTAATTTTATCAAATAAGAAATATAAATAATTTTCAAACATATACATGTAAGCAAACGATAAATGTATTGACTTTTGGGAACATTTAAAACTACTATATTTTTTTCATATATTTATATATTAAATGATCAAATTTTATTATCATTTCAAATTTAAGATAAATCCTTCAAAAAATAAAAAAAAAATTAATAGCATTTCATTTGGTCCTGTCATTGTCAGCGTTGGTCAGGTCACGTTTTATGAAGATTTAAAAAGTGTTCTATATTTTTTTCTTGAATAAAAAAAAGTTAAATCGCAATTTTAGTTATTTTTATATCTCTTAGCTAAAGCCCCTATAACATTCAAACCTCGTTTTGATAATACAGTGTTAATTTTGATCAAAGACAGGTTAACAGCGGTTTTTTAAAATTTTCATAGTATTTCACCACATTCTACAATTGCAAAGGTTTGCTGTTCCTGATAAGACTGTTTTGTGTGGGAAGAAGCATCAGACATGGAAAATATGAACAATTTTTAAATACTTCTTACATAAGCTCTATCTCCCGATACAGTTATCTTTAGCTGTGATGATTCAGGCTGATTCTTCAAGTGATTTTCAATTAATTTTTAACTTCGGTAGCAATTTCAATCATAGATCCAGGTACATTTTCGAGCAGTCTTACAACATGAATCGTCCAAACGGCACTCAATCAGCATGTTAGATCGGGGAAGTTCATCGGAGGGCATTGTCAGTTCATGATATGCTGCGTTACTGATGCAAAACCTGTCCATGAGAAAACAAAATTTCTGATTTTGTCTTTTTCCTCCTAGGATAAACTCTCATAATTTTTTTCCGGTTTAATCGATACATCTTTGCCTTCTTTACATTTAGAGACAAGAGACGTAGGTTTTTGTCTAAACGTTTTTTTTAACCAAATAGCTTCTTCTTATTCAGACCTCAATGATTTAAGTGTCCTGTAATATGTTCTGACAGTTGTGTTTTATATCTTTTGCAGTACTCTTTATGGATGGAAATTTGTCTTAAACAGATTCATTTCTTCCTTATGGCGAGGAGTCGTCTGTTGCTGTGCAAATATCTCTATTTTATGCTCACTTAGGATGGTACTCATGTCTTCATTCTTTTGCAGCAAATTATACAAATGTTTGCATTTCTTCCCATATTCTGCCTTTTCGCTATTAAATGTATGCAGTGCAAAAGACTGTTTTTCACGCCCTATAGGTTCTTCTTAAATAAGGCCATTGACGGTAGCTTTGAGAGATAATATCGCATCTGATTTCCTCTTATAGAATTTGATTTGGCAGACACTTTCTATACTGATGACGATAATATATCAGTCAAAAGGTATGTACATGTCTCTGGATCTAACAGTCGGTACAATTCTAACATAAGCCGTAGCCGTTTTTTTTTTCTATATAAGTAGCGTACAAGTATTCACACAAGGTAAGTTTCCTAATCTTCTTCCACGGCAAGAACTTCAGTGGTATGGTTAACAGCGTATCTGAATAAGTCATTTGGTAAAGATGAGGTGAATGTCTTAACACTTGACTTCAGTCTTTTTTGTTGGTCTTCAATGGCTGTTGAATACAATTTTATGTATTCTTAAAAAATTCAAGGCTGGTTCAATTCTGTAATCAGAGACTGAGTAAAAGGCACTGTAGATCCCATGTATTGTCGTGTTCTTGATCACCTTCCCATATTCCATCTCATAAAATATAGCTCCTGCAAAAAATCAAACAATAAGCAATTAGAATTATAAAGAATAATTTGAATTCGGCCACAGATGTCATTGAACAATGTTGAATGTATCAATTAATTTATCAATGCTTACCTAAAATCTACACTTGGTCTATATGGGGCCGCTTATAAATTTCTATACGGGTTTTCCTTTTGCTCACAGTTGAATGCTGTACGGATGATCTTTATAACTGTTTCATCATCGACATTTTGTTTCTTAAGGACAGGTTCTCATTGGCAATCCACGTCTTCTTATCCTTATATCAAAGAAAGGCGGAACATATGAAAGGGACACTCAAACCGACAAAGCCGTGAAAAAAAAACAACATAAAAACTCTTTTTTTGAAAGACTCCAGCAGAAATCATTGTAATTTGTTGCATTTAAAGTTCGAAAAACGACCACTTTATTTTTTCTCACTAGGATGCACGCCATTATTCTCTTTTCTTTATTTTTTGGGCTTTTTCTTCTCTATTCTTTTAATTTTTGCCCTTCTTACACATTATTTTCTACTCTGTAAACCGCAACCAGACCTTCACTTAAAGGTCCTGAGAAAATATTGTTTATTCATAAATTGAAATAGGACTTTGAAATAGCTTTAGGTAAACAAGTACTCTTAAATTGACGTTTTAAGAGTTAATTGTTCTTGGGCTTCGTGTCATTCGGATGCTTCAGGTCCTTCCAAATTGAGAAGATTTTTTGATAAACGCCTTACGGGGACTTGTACATGCATATGTTAACATCTTTGTCTATTGATAGTTGTATTCGCATGAGAAAAAAATATCACCTACATCAATTGTTGTTTTTTTTTTTAATTTTCTAAGCTTAACTTCTCCTTTCATTGTTTTTTTTAAATTGTTTCATATTTTGTCAAAACTTTGATCCTATGATGACTTTATTTAGTGTACATTTTATATGCTAAATAATATAACATTCAGTGCAATCCCAGATGTCTTCAAAGTTTATCTTTATGGTACATATACCTAATGAAAAAAATAATCATGACATGTACTCAACGACTGTTTTTACAATTCATCCTACCGGTTAAATACTCTGAGGTCATATTTTATGAAAAGGATAGATGGTCAGAAAGTTTTTGCTTATACTATGCAAATACTTGATGACGATTAAGCCACAAGAGCTCTATGTAAATACCAGTGACCAGCTGGCATGCTGTAAAGTAACAACTGGATCACAATGGTAAATACTGTTGTTACTGAAAACGATTCGGAATCAAATTTCATTCCATTATCGAAGGTTGAATTAGTTTCCGATAATTGTAAATAAAAATACGCCATGTAGTAAAAACAAATACACGGTCATATGAAAATCTTTTAACCTTACATCGGATTGATATGGCCATTCACAAGGAACTTGTTTTAATCACGTGATCCAATTATTTAAAGATAATTTTAATAATAATCGAAATTTATTATTTTGGCGACAATATTTTGATAATTAATCATGTCTTTATAAAGTGTTCATCGATGGACATTAATTCATGAATAAATTAATATTGACTTTTATCTTATTGACGTATACGGATATCTAATATGATCCGAGTTACTGTAAATTTTAATAAATATGATTGATTTTTAAAAAATTGTCCTGTTGTAAAATTGATTCATTGAAAATTGACCCTACCTTTAAATAACATTTTTAATTGTCACTGGCATTTCTATTTTAAATGCTTCGTCCGGAGTATCATTGCAATCTAATATACGTGATATATATCGGATGTTTCTGCAAATTGTAACAGTGTATAGGAATCGCTGACTTCATATCTATGCAGATTAAAATCTATTCATATAAATTGTGTTCGCTTCTATTTTCATAAATCAGCGAACCACATAACAGACTGAAGCGAAGACATTTAAATATATCCTAGACCTTTGTTTGTTTAGATAATTTTGACTAAGGTAGTTATTCTTGTCTATCAACATTAAATTGTTCCTAGTCTTAGTTCGTTCATGTACCTGTTCTATGTGGGACGTTCAAAATTTTTTTTTTTATCCCTGACATATATCAAAAAGGCGATGTCTAAAGTTTTTCTTACAAAAGGAATTTCATACTGCTAGAAGGTAAATATTTTTGTTTTATTAGAAATAATACATACAAAAGGCGATAGTAGTGCATAAAGTTTTGTTGTCAATGTGTCATTGTATACTGCTATGAGGGTCTGGTTGGTGTTTACAGAATGTATAATAATGGACACAAAATGCAAAATAAAGGGTAATAATATAAAGAATAGATTAAAAAAGGTCAATACGATTAAGAACTAAGAAAAATAGGCTAACACTATAAAGATAAGAGAATACTTGGGTGCTTAATTATAATAAATAGAGAATAAGGGGCATACAAAATAAAGAATAGAAATTATTGTATAAAAATGAAATATTACAGAAATAAAGGACTCCCCCTCCTAATCCTCTGTTGTAAGGTAAGTATTTTGTAGTATAAATAGGACGAAGACCAGTGCTATAATTTTGAGGTTGTCTCTTTTGATTGGAATTTTACACAAACTCAGAATAAAATAAAATACTATTATATCGCTATGTATCTTCATTTATATAAAATATGTTTTGGGTTAATTGATTCTCTTTTTCAGTTCGACATTCTTGTGCACCCAAATAATTTCTTATCCGAAATACCACCATTAACTCTTATTTAAAAAAAGGACGTTATAAAACATTCCTTGTACAAGTATATTTGAATAGTTTATATTGTACATTTTCAATCGATACGTTAAAATAGTTTTTTAAAATGACATTTCAAGGTTTTCAAGCATTATAGGGATACGATTATTTCTTTGTTCACTGTAACGCAAATCTTTTTAACGGAATTTTGAGATCCTATATAATAAAATTTTATTATTTGTGATGACAGCAACATGCGAATTTATCATTTTTTGTATGCTATGCATGAATTAATCCTCGCTTCACGTTCGTCAAAATAACAAGCCAATCTTTAACCATTTGTAAAAATGTAACAAGATCAGTAATATCCTGTAATGATATTTAAAATAGAACCGTATTGCATAGGAATGAAATTCTGGTACGGGTTTTTCAAAGATTGAAAGAATTTGAAAAAAAAATATAATCGAAATAGATTCAAAAATTAGGAAATTATTACGAAACCTTGGAGCACAGTTTATATTTGACGAATTTGGCTGTATTTTAAATGTCTCTTAGGTCGTACATCTCCTAACGTTTCTAAGTGTTGTCATATTCATGGCTTTTCAAATTTCAGGTATGAAGTAAATTCATAAAACGCTCCATATGCACGAGTTCATGCAGTGTTATATTTATTTACCACAAATTTGTCGATACCACTTCTGTTGGACTATTAGTTTCCGAGGGTATCATCACCTTAGTAGTCAGTATTGACATGAAGTAAAACATACTTTCTAAAATTTCCAGTTTCTAATTAAAAAAAAATATTGTGAAACTAAGTTTGCAATTTCTGCAAGCTAAGTTGATTTTATTTGTGTCCCTTTTGGTCATAAAGTTCCTACCATTGCTACCTATTTACACATCCCTGGCTTTAAAATATTAAGGTTTCAGAGTTTCTGATGAAGGTTAATTCAGAAAAGCGATTTATACGCAGGACTTATGAGTTTGAGTGTCCCTTTGGTATCTTTCGCCTCTCTTTTGTAAAAGAAACGCGCGTCTGACGTACAAAACATTAATCCTGGTATCTATGATGAGTTTATTTATAAAGTGTTATTTTCATGTAGCTAAGGAATCAAATGTCTGAAACAAACATATTTAAGTATCTTCTGAAACAATTTGATATCAAACAGAAGAAAGATATTTCTTCTTTGGATTAAAAATTTTATTTAAATTTGAGGATTAAGTCAATTTTCGACTGACTTATGTATTGTTATGCTACAATTTTAAGGGAAAGAATATTATACTTCTTGCAGATAAGTGGAGTTTAAATCCGTTGTGTTAAATTCGTCAAATTGTTATGTTGACCTCGTAAATAAATGCAGGGTTAAATTTTAAAGTTCAATTTATAAAGGTTTATTTAAATTTAATGCTGTGTATAAAGTTCTTTAATTTTAGGTAATACATATGTATGATTGTCAAAATATTCTAAAGGTATATGCTTTTTTGTTCAATGTTCCTAATTTCAAAACGCTCTTACATAAAATTCTATTAGTAAGTTAAAGAAAAAAATTGATATTCTATTTTACTACAATATTGTATGTTGCTGCCATCAAAATCAATAAATTTTATGATATAAGATCTACAAAATCCTATAAATAGATTATTATGACAGAGAACAAAGAAATACTCGTATTCATGTAGCGTTTTGAAACCTTGAAGCGTCTTTTCAAAAACTATTTTAATATACTAGAAAATGGAATGTATTATAACATCCTTTATAAAATAAGAGTTAATGGTAGCATTAGGTCCGGGAACACAGTTATCGTTCTTTGATTTTCGTTGTCCACGAATATAGTCCCTAGTGTGGACAGTGTGTTACTTGCAATTTTTTGGTATACCCCTTCCAAATTTATTTCTTCATGCTTTATGCCTCAAAAAGCAAGTTGGGGGATGAAATTACATTGTAAAAAAATTTGGATCATACATTTTAAAGTAAAGTAGTGATTTGGTCCAGCTGAAAAAGGTTAAAAATTAGCATTTCGGAATCTGTCAAAAGATTTCAAGACCCCCTTAACATAATTTGTCCATATTTTGAGTTAGAGCAGATGAAGTTTTCTATAACTTTGATATAACTTGTCCCAAAAGTAGTACACCACACTGTAAAAATATTATTGAGAAAGCGCAGGTGGTTTTTTTTTTTTATTTTCATTTATTGTCTAAAAGAAATGCACCACGAAATAACTGTGTTCTCGGGCCATTACGGAATAGAAATGGTTAAGGTGCACATGAATATCAAACTGAAAAAAATCCATTTACCCGATATATATTGTATCTTAAAATGAAAGATACATAGCGATATGGTATCATTTTACTTTAATCTTAGTACAGTTTGTTTTGAAATTACTAAACAGATATTTCTTTTCAGAAAAACTATCTTTTGTTCAATATGTGAATTCTTCAATGACCGAAAATAAGATGAAAATGACGACAAAAATATAAAGTTTATTTGTCCGAAGAACTTTTTTGGATTAACTTACATCAAGAACATTAAATTGAAATATTTGAAACCCAAGAATGTATAAGTACTTGAAGAACGATAAGACCAATAAGGACCAAAACTAAAAAGTCATTCCTCGGGAATATCTATGTTACTACTTCAAGGACGATGACGAACGCAATTCTATATACATGTTTTTTTATACTGTAACAAAAGCTGCTTTATACATTTTGTTCTATTTGACTATTCTGTTCAAATACATTTAATCAATCAATATACATTCAAGAGATTTAATGCAAAGACGAAGAAGAAAAATGTCTATAAAAGTTAATTTTGGTGGGTGATAGTATATTTGGTCTAAAGTTTAAACCTTTTTTAAGATATGGAGATAAAGAGAATTGTTGTGCGATTGTTGTGCGTTTAAACATTTGAAATAATTTGCTCAATTTGATTTTCCTTTGAGGAGAAATACACTATCTACATGTAAATTATTAATTTAGTTTTATAACTTTTATGCAATACTACATCGAACATCATATCTGTTTATGTTAATGATGAAATTTATTACGTATTTTTTCCCATTTGAATCTTTTTTTACTTCAATAAATATTCGCACAGGTTTAATAAATGTGTCACACACAGTAAAATGAATGATACGATCGTCCATCTTATAGATAGTTCCAAGAAAAAACTTCAAATTCGCTTTACGAGAACATTTTTTAAGGTTTAATCTCTCGTCAGGAACTAGCAATACAAAATAATTATTTCTACGATGGTTATAGATTTTTTCAATCCGAACTATCTTGAGGAAAATCATTGCTCAAGTTGAAAAGTTGATCTGAGTAGACCATACAGAATAAATCAATGTCTTTGTAATTTATCAAACCAACAGGACCTTGAAGTTTTGGGATTGCCTGGACAAACATACTTAGACAATTTATTTCAAAACTTAAACTGTCTTAAAATAGAAACATTATCGCTTGATTCTATGATAACACTAGCACAAAACACGTTCATATCTTTTTTAGGGATAGCAAAACACCCGTTCAAATGCTGCATATGACGTCATATGTGCATATTGAAATCTTTTAAGGTTTTCAAACGTAGAAAGATGACTGAAATAAGTATCCCTGGTAATTCACATAGACATGGATTTGTATTGGGCCATTCTCACTTTGCAGTACTCGAACAAATAGGTATACAGAAGTTAAATTTGGTGGGTGAGAGTAAATTAATAATTATGACGTCTTGAAAAGCTATTTCATTTTTTTTTCTGTAACGCCTTTCTACGATATCATAGCGCTGAAGCCATGTTTTCCCGTCTGGACCTAGTAATAAGAGAAAATGTTCGGTAGAACTTTGAGACTTCATTTTGGCATAAAATCTTTCATTGACGACTAAAATTCATATAAATGTTCATATTAACATAGTATCTGTTGTAATTTACCAATATTTGTCCTTGTGCGTTATTTCAGTTTAGGTTCTGTGGATTCATACTTTTGTAAACAGGCAATTTATAAAAATGACCATGTAATTGATAATCATGTGAACACCGTAGTGCTGACTACTGGGTTGGTGATACCCTCGGGGACGAAACGTCCATCAGCAGTGGCATCGACCCAGTGGTGTAAGTAGTTATCAAAGGTACCAGGCTTATAATTTAATACGCCAGACGCGCGTTTCGTCTACATAAGACTCATCAGTGACGCTCAGATCAAAAAAGTTGTAAAACCAAACAAGTACAAAGTTGAAGAGCATTGAGGACCCAAAATTCCAAAAAGGTTGTGTAAAAAATACGGCTAAGGTAATCTTTACCTGGGATAAGAAAATTCTTCGTATTTCGAAAAAAAATTATACTTTTGTAAACAGGCAATTTATGTAAATGACCATATAATTGATATTCATGTCAACACCGTGCTGACTACTGGGCTTGTGATACCCTCGGAAGACAACATTTGTTCATCTTGTTTGA